GAAATCAAGACAGGCTAGAAAAGAGCCATGTAAATATATATGACAGCTCAAAAACCTACCTTAACTTTGATACGTGTGCACAATGCACTTGTTCCAGACCTTTGCTGTTGTGCATTCCCTGTTTATATACATCGTACATAGCTAACATTGAATGTACATAGGCATTTATCTAGGTACGTACCTTACTCGGGGTAGACTTTCGTCATTTTCAATCCAATTCACCATGCTCAGTTGGACGAGAGCCGCCCAAACGGTACCTGGCTGCCCCACTCCGAGCTTAGGAGCCCCTCTGTCCCGCACCTGTGACTGACCTGACAAACAGCTTAGAGAGCGAAAGCTATCTGCTGACCTATTCAATTCCTACCTACCTACATTCGAACCCATTATTACTTCAGCATACACACTTACAATCCTCGGATCGTGACGTTTCCTCATTCTTGCAAAGGAGAAACCAGAACACTCATTTTTCACGGTACCTTTTAAAAACCAGACAGCTATGGCTTCTTCCTCCCTCAAAGGCCCGACCCCGCAGGAGCACGACGGCAGCGCCCTGCGCATCGGCATCGTCCACGCCCGCTGGAACACGACCATCATCGAGCCCCTGCTCAAGGGCACCAAGGACAAGCTGCTGGCCTGCGGCGTCAAGGAGAGCAACATTGTCGTTCAGTCCGTCCCGGGCTCTTGGGAGCTGCCTATTGCCGTCAAGTCGTATGTTTATGTCTTGCTATATCCCCCCTCATCGTCATTGTTGTCGCTGTTTGGTTTGGGGGAGATCCGGATCCGGACCCGGGCCCGCCTTGTCGGAAGCGGGACAGACGAATTTCTACTCAGCAACGTAGTTCAGAAGGCTTGGGGGAATGTAGAAGAGGGTCCCTGCGATCTTGCCCAGCTTCCTGACCCCATTCCTTGATCCAATGCCTACCAGAAAGCAAGCAACATGAACTAACATGTGCATCCCACTTCAGACTCTACACAGCCTCGCAAGTCCAAGCAACCCACTCCTCGAGCGCCAGCGCCGGCGATCTGCTAGGCTCTTCGACGACCGACCTGACGGCCCTGGGAGGTACCGCCTCTGCGGCCCCCTTTGACGCCATCATCGCCATTGGCGTCCTGATCAAGGGCGAGACCATGCACTTTGAGTATATTGCCGACGCCGTCTCGCACGGCCTGATGCGCGCCCAGCTCGACCTCTCGGTTCCCGTCATCTTTGGCGTCCTGACCGTCCTCAACGACGAGCAGGCCAAGGCCCGCGCCGGCCTTCTGAGCAACTCCCACAACCACGGCGAGGACTGGGGTCTGGCTGCCGTCGAGCTCGGCGTCAAGAGGGGCGCCTGGGCTAAGGGCAAGATCGAGTAAGTAGGTAGAGAGAGAGAAAGCTAGAAAGAGCGCGATATGCAAAGTCAAGTTTGGGCACTGGAAACGGATACGTGTGAAAAACGATTGGCAAGATGTTTGAAAAATCCCTTGATGTGCTTGTACTATGAACAAAAAGGCCTCACTCGTAACTAGACTTGACCGGGCCAAGATGAATTTTTTTTAGG